AGCGGAGAGATTTCATGATATTTGTGGGGTAGAGTGTGATAACACACGGCTTCACATGTGCCCAAGAACGGTTTAAGAAGGGAGTTGAACTCTATACTAAACTCTTCAACACAGCAGAGAAAACATCATTGAAGTGACCCACACCATCTACTTACTTAATGGGAAAAAAACTTTTCCACCTATGCATCAGGCGGGGATATATATAAAGAGCTGCAAAATTTAAATACTCAACATGCAAATCATCCAAATCATGCAGACGACTTGTACAATCACTGTGGTAGTTAGTGTGGTGGTTCCTTAGGAAGCTGGGGGTCGATCTACCATAAGATCCAGCTATACTTTCTTGATCATATACTCAAAGCACTCTGCATTCTACTACAGAGACTCTTGCTCATCCGCGTTCATTGATGTTCTATTCATAATAGCCAGAAATTGCAACCAACCTAGATGTCCCCCAACAGAAGAATGGATAATAAAAATATGACACATTCCCACAATGGGATATACTCATCCCATATTTTATGTAATTTTGTTGAATAATAATAAAATTATATACTTTTCAGTTAAATAGATGGAGCTATAAAAGATTATTACAAGTTAGGTAACTCAGAACCAAAAATGCAAATACTATGTATTCTCTCATACGTGGATGCTAGCTTTTAGGATTTTGGTATGTGTACCACAATTTGAATAACCGCAGAGGTTATGTATCTAGTAAGTGATCAGGGGAGAGACGAGGATCTCCCAAAGAAGGAGAAATAGAATATAGTATTATGGAGAGTTAAAGGGGAAACTAGAAGAAAAAGATGAAAAGGGAAGGTGATGAGAGAGAAGGGTAAAGGAAGGACTATGGGGAGGGAGAACAAATATTAACTGCTACTTGAAAAACGTGGAAACTTACTAGTGTAGAAGCTTACTAGAGAATATGCATATGTGAAATGATTTTAAATGGAGTCTCCAAGTCATAGAGGAAACGGGACCCCCAGTAAACATCATAAGGCACCAAATAGCCCAGGGCCAGAAATGAGTAACATCTTGTTGAGTTATTGGCCAAAAGGGTCCTATGGAACCCCCAAACATCACAGGTTATTGCTAAGGCTGTCTACAATTATTACTCTCTGCAATCTGACAGTAAGGCCCTATTGCTGAGGCCAACAGTTACTTATGCCATTGAACACAGAGAAACTGAGCTGGTGCATAACTAGAAGTTTCATCTTTACTGAAGAGTGTCCATGATACTGAAAGAGACTTTGCCCACTAGTGGAAGAGAGAGATAATCACCGATATTACTCAGCTACAAACAGTGTGACCTGAAACAGTGACTTACACACAAGATATACTGGTACAATAGTGGCACAGTATTATGAGAATAACCAACCACTTTTTAAAATTGAATTTAAGGCCCACTCCATGAGATGTAACCCATACCTGACACTGCTATAGTGGGCACCGTCCTGAGACTAGACAGACCATGGGCTTAGCATAGCAATAAATGACTTCTGACAACATACTGCTATACTTTCCTCAGCCCACATCAGAGGATGTTCTTCTTGTAGTTGATGGGAATTAACAGAGAGACCCCCACTAGACAATGTGCTGAGTATGAGAGATTTTGGAGCTCTCAGTCATGAATGGAATGCCTTCATTAAACTCCTTCCTTCAAGACTCAGGGATCTATGTGGAAGAGAAGGCAGGACGATCATAAGAGCCAGAAGGACTGGATGATGACTCCAAGGAGACGATGGCCTTCAGACATGGCAGGACTGATGCATATGTGGATTCATAGAGACTAAGGCAGCATACCAAGACTTGCATAGGCTCACGTCGGGTGGGGTTCCAGCACCAAAATGGAGACATGCAGTGAACACAAAGTTCCATCTCCAACCAAGGAGCTGGCTATCTGAACATGATACCCTCTGTCATAAGTAAAGTCAGTTTTCTCCAAGGGAATGTCACCACACCTCAAGCAAGCCCCTACCGAGGAGTTAGTCAACACACAGCAAACTCCATGCTGCTTTTGTGCACCTTTTGTTTACTTTTGCTTTCTTTTGGCATTTTTTAAAACCTTATTTGTCCTTTGCCCATTTTTATTTGTCTTTGTTTCCTGTTTCTTTTGTCATTTTTGTTTCTTGTTTTTGTTTTTTGAGAGCAAGAGAGATAACAAAGTTGAATGAATGGGGAGTTGGAGATGATTTGGGGGAGGGAAAACAATAAAAATGTAATGCACAAAAATAATTTTAATAAAAAAGAAAAAAGTATACATCACTGGAACTGTTATAGAGGGCTGACAGCTACCATGTGGGTCACTGAACTGAACACATTATTATGTGCAGGAGCAACAGGGCTCATGATTGTTCAGAGTCATCTCTCCAGCCCCAATTCCTTAGCATTTTTTTCCTAGATAGGGTTTCTCTGTGAAGCCCTGACTGTCCTGGAACTGTACAACAGGCTGGCCTCGAACTCAGAGATCCATCTACCTCTGCCTCCCAAATGCTGAAAATAAAGGCAGATGCCACCTGGTTGTCCTTAGCATTTGAAAGGCTGTCTCTTCTTTGCCCTATTACTGTTATTAATAGCCAGTGTCATCTAGGTGCATTTACATGGTGATAAATCTATCTTTTTTTATTAATTACACTGTATTCACTTTGTATCCCCCCATAAGCCCCTCCCTCCTCCCCTTCCAATCCCACCCTCCTTTCCCCTTCTTCACGAATGCCCCTCCCCAAGTCCATTGGTAGAGGAGGTCCTCCTCTCCTTCCTTCTGATCGTAGTCTATCAGATCTCTTCAGGAATGGCTGCATTGTCTTCTTCTGTGGCCTGGTAAGGCTGCTCCCCCATCAGGGGGAGGTGATCAAAGAGCAGGCCAATCAGATTGTGTCAGAGGCAGTCCCTCTTCCCATTACTATGTAACCCACTTGGACACTGAACTGCCATGGGCTACATCTGTGCAGGAGTTCTAGGTTATCTCCATGCATGGTACTTGGTTGGAGTATGAGTATCTGGGAAGACCCCTGTGTTCAAATTTTCTGGTTCTGTTGCTCTCCTTGTGGAGTTCCTGTCCTCTCCAGATCTTACTATTTCCCACTTCTTACATAAGATTCCATGTACTCTGCCCAACAGTTGGCTATAAGTCTCAGCGTCTGCTTTGATAGTCTGCGGGGCAGAGCCTTTCAGAGGCCCTCTGGGGCAGGTTCCTAGCTTGTTTCCTGTTCTTCTTCTGATGTCCATCCTCTTTGCTTTTCGGGATGGGGACTGAGCATTTTAGTCAGGGTCTTCTCTCTTGATTAGTTTCTTTAGATGTACAGATTTTAGTAGGTTTATCCTATATTATATGTCTATATGAGTGAGTATATACTGTGTGTGTCTTTCTGCTTCTGGGACAGCTCACTCAGGATGATCCTTTCCAGGTCCCACCATTTACCTGCAAATTTCATGATTTCCTTATTTTTCATTGCTGAGTAATATTCCATTGTGTAGATATACCACAATTTCTGCATCCATTGTTCAGTTGAGGGGCATCTGGTCTGTTTCCAGCTTCTGGCTATTATAAATAAAGCTGCTACAAACATGGTTGAGCAAATGTCCTTATTGTGTACTTGAGCCTCTTTTGGATATATGCCTAGGAGTGGTATGGCTGGATCTTGAGGAATCGCTATCCCTAGTTGTCTGAGAAAGCTCCAGATTGATTTCCAGAGTGGTTGTACAAGTTTACATTCCCACCAGCAGTGGAGGAGGGTTCCCCTTTCTCTACAACTTCGAATGGCAGAGAAACACTTAAAGAAATGCTCAATGTCATTAGCCATTAGGGAAATGCAAATCAAAACGACCCTGAGATTTCACCTTATACCCATCAGAATGGCCAAGATGAAAAACTCAAGTGATAAATCTATCTTTTATCTCTAGGAGCATTTACCTATTTTTTAAATAATAATTTTTTTTTATTCTTAGAAATTTCAATACATATACACAATGATACATATGTATAATGTATCCATCCCATACTGACTTCTTCCAGTTCTCTAGGGACTAATAATCCACATGTCTCCCTTCTGACTTCACATCTTTCTTTGCAATTATTATTTCTAAACTCTTGTGTCCAATTAGTGCTGACCATGTGTGAATGGGCGTGAGGCCATTTACTCTGGCAGAGAAGACCTACCCATGTCCACATTTCCAAACAGAAAGGACTTCTTTTCCTCAGCAGCCTCAACTACCGATAGCTCCTCAGCCAGAAAGGGGCCCTGGGAGACCCTCTCAATGCTGAAATTTTAAAAGATTTTAAACTTCTCAAACTCATAGCTGTGCTTCTCAAGAAAAACAATTCCATTGAGTAAATAAAAGCAGAAACAAAATATAACACCAGCTAGAATTTCTATGTAGTTCAATGTAAGCAGAAAATGGCAAAGGTAAATAACTTTCATTCACAAAAACGCCGTGATTGGCCACATAGAAGACAAATTTAAAGTAACCTTCAAATTGAGAGTAATAGCAACACTACCGGAGGTAAGACATTAAAGTACTAAATTTATAACATGTAGGGCTAATTATTTAAGAATGAATTGTATTTCAGTCGATAAAAAGTATTTTAAATCTTGTAACAGAATTTATTCACAATATCATCCAAAAATGAATTAATTATAAATGTAACAAAACATACATTTTAAAAGCCCCAAATTAAAATATGTTGGAAAAATTTAATGAAGATCCGACAAACATACAATAATAGGTCACAGTAGGTCATGTGTTGGAATAGTCAATATTTTTTTCTGATGTTACTTCTGAGCTAAGTGGGCTATAGACTCACTGTTAGCTTAATACACACTTCAGAAGCACTTTCGCAAAAATTCACAGACTTATTCCAAAGTAAGTCTGCACGAACACTCTCAGTTAACCAAAGCATCTTAAGTGTTGTTAGACTCATAGTGTCTAATGATGGTTACTGCTACTTGTCAACTTGGGAGAATCTAGAAACCTGTCACTGTTGCTCTTTCTCATCAAAGGTATCACAGGAGATGTTCTGCCTGCAGAGTTCTCAAGCCTTACACGTTCTGGAGAACAGCCTGAGGAGGCACCTCCCAGAGTCCTTAAAGGTGAGACTAGAACATTCTCAGAGTAACTAAGGTGCGCACCTTGCTATGGCAAGGAGGGAAACAGGTCCAGACGCACTGAAAAGTGGCCGAGACCATGGCATTTCTCTCACCTGAGCTTAGGTTTCCAGAGTGGAAAGAAGTCTCAATAGTGTCACTTCCCCAAAATTTTAAAAGTAGCAAAGTTCTGCTCCCCACTGTCCACTGTGGGGAAGTGTCACTGTTTGCTTCCAAAGGATGTTTCACAATTTTTGTGAGACCCTGTCAAAAAGTAAAAACTCAAAAGAATGTTGGAGATACAGTGCATCTTATCAACACATTGATAAGAGTGTTTGCCTAGTATGTGCAAGGTCCTAGGTATAATTGCCAGGAGGGGAAAAAGAATTTTCCTGCTTCTTAAATAACAAGTCACTACTTAGCGGAAGTCATGTTAAATATTGAGCAATAAAGATTCTGATGTTATTTGAATTTGTGTCCTTGATATGGCTCAAGTAGGGGAAGATTTTTTTAAGGTACAAAGTAAAGTAAAATGTGTGTCATAAGATGCTTTTTTATCACATATTATTTCAATGAAATAAGATTTAATTTACATAAATTTCTACGTCTCCTAACATACAACTTGTTATGAAAGTTACTATGGACTAGGATTTGACCTATGTAACATATTTACAGAAGACATGAGGTAAAAATGTCTGTCATCAAATATACATATGGCACCTGAAGCCAAATATTTAATTTTTAAACTTATTAACTTTTTATTAATTATAGTTTATTTACTTTGTATCCCAACTATAGCCCCCTCCCTCATCCCCTCCCAATCCACCCTACCCCCCTCTTCTTCTCCCATGCCCCTCCCCAAGTCCACTGATAGGGGAGGTCCTCCTCCCCTTCCCTCTGACCCTAGCCTATCAGGTCCCATCAGGACTGGCTGCATTGTCTTCCTCTGTGGCCTGGTGAGGCTGCTCCCTCCCTCAGGGGGAGGTGATCAAAGAGCCAGTCACTGAGTTCATGTCAGAGACAGTCCCTGTTCCCCTTACTGGGGTACCCACTTGGAGACTGAGCTACCATGGGCTACATCTGTGCAGGGGTTCTAGGTTATCTCCATGCATGGTCCTTGGTTGGAGCATCAGTCTCAGAAAAGACCCCTGTGGGAAGCTAAATATGTATAAGCTGTCCTGTGGCTCACTATATATCCCAGGTGTCCCTTGACCTTTCAACATGACTGCCTCAGTTTCCTTATTAGCTGAGATAACAGACCTGCATCACTAAGCCTGGCTAAATCTTAACTTAGATAAGAAACCAAAATTTTAACTTAGATGATAAATATATATCAACAGCCAGGTGATATAGATGTAAAAATTACATAATATGGATATTAAAGTAACAATCATAAAAATGCTATAAGGAATGATAAGATAAACATTTGTAATGCTTGGAAACCATCTCTGAAATGTCTCAACTTCATAAACTTTGTTGGATGCACACAAAGAAAAACAAATCTGAAATCCATGAAAAAAATTCTATTAGATTCTACATCAGGGAAGTTCATGAGTTTATTTATAAATCTTACCATTCTTTATATTTTATCTTATTAATGTTTAAAAGATATTTTTGTTATAAGCAACTACACACTAGAAACCATTGGGAAGATTCATTTATTACATCTTTCCTACAAAATTTTCATAATTCCATGTAAATGATTCTTGTTCTACTCAAATATGTTGCATTTCTCCGCCTCTTTGTAATGTGCTGACATTATTATCATATTGAAACATTTAGGTTTATGGGACTGTCTACCACATGAATCATGGAAATCCATTCAAGCTCAAGGCTTTGGTGGACAAGTGGCCTGATTTTAATACTCTTGTTATTCGACCCCAGGAACAGGTAAGTAGCAACATAGAACAGATGTGTCTGTTCCCTACATTTGTTGCATTTCTAGAATGTGTCTGGCAGTACGGTATTACGGTAATATGGTAGATGCCTACTCCCACCCCGAGAAACAGAAGTGAAATGTAATAATGTCAACTAATACTCTGTCTGAAGGAGAATACAGAACAGTCCACATAAAAATTACAGAATGGTATAAAGTGTTCAGAAGGGGAAATACACAAAGATATAGTAATAACCCAAGGAGATGGTACATTTTCACCTTCCTTCCTTCTTTCTTTCTTTCTTTCTTTCTTTCTTTCTTTCTTTCTTTCTTTC